TCGACAATAATCATCATAAAATTCTTCACTAAATATCTTTAAATTATCGGATTCAATAGGACGAACAAGAAAATAAGTGAAATGACGAATCATCGATCCCATTTTTGTTGTACAATGTCGATAGGAATCCGGTGAACAACTGGTGAACCAATCGGTAAATTCTTTCAATAATCTTCGTAAAACTTGAAGAAATATTTCTAAATCATCATAATCGGAATACCATTGTGAATATAATGGCATTGTATCCAAAAAGAGAATATTGCGATGATCGAGATATTGAGTAAAATTTCTTTTTAAATTTCGAATCATTGTGATTGTATTCAATGAAGTTAAACGTTGAGCAATGGCAGAGAATAATGGTTTTAAAAGTAAATATTCATCGTTAATAATTTGTTTGGCATGTAAATGTTTTAATGCCGTTAAGAGAAAACTAATCGAACGAAGAAGATTAGGATCGTTAATATGTTTATCAGAATTGTTCAATTCATTCAAACACTTAACGAGTTCATCAATCAATGGATAATGAAGAAGTAAATGTTCACATTCAGCAACATTCGTATCGGTAATGTTATGATAAAGATTCATAAATAAAATGGAAACATTCAATAAAATTTTTCCAGTCAGATTTCCTTCGATATGTCGTCGACGTAAATGTTCGATCAGAATTTGATCACGTAAAATAAGAAAAAATTCGTGTTGAATTAATTCAACTTCGGCTAATTTTTTGTCTTTGAATGATAAACTTATTAAAGGAGATATCATTTGACCAATTAAATTTGATCTCGCCTCACCGTCATCAATCGTTTTTAATTCAGTAACAAAGAAATCGAATGAGGTTTTTAGTCGTTCAACAGGAAGGCTCAAACCATGTTGCCGAATAATCATCGCATATTCTTCGATTGAGTTTTTGCTCATTTTTGATTCGGTAATTCTACAAAAGACTGAATAACTTTAAATATTCGTTCTTAAAGAGTAAAAGCTTACTGTGAGGTAATTTCCAACATGAACAACTAGATTACTTAAATCGAGACAAAAACAACCATTCTTCTTTGGGTGGACAAAGTAATGAATCAAATTTGAAGAGCATTGTTGATAATGTCGGTTTTATTTTTCGTTCTTTGAATTCAGTAGGTTTTCGGCGATAACCTGTTCTTTTTTCAAGTGCAAAAATGTGAAAAACAAATTTTTATTTGCTTCCAATTTTACATATGTAAAGAGAGAAATGAAGTTGCAACCAATATGTGTTTTTTGCGTTTCTATGCTTATATTCATCATCATTATGACACGTTCTTTGCTCAATAAACCTGCAGTCATTAAAATAAAAAAAAAAACATTCTCATACTCATCGTCATCACACATTTTCTTTTGCAAAGGAATCGATAGTACTAGATGCATGATAATAGATGTAGAAACATTCTCAAGACAATCATGTTATCGAACTTTTTGTCAAATCGGGCTAATCTTTTTTCGTCCTTGTTTTTCTTTACGGACATCTGTTTTCGTAACAAAGTCCGACTGTTCGAAACGGCATGAGTCAAGGCTTTTTAATGGTTTTTATATTCAAAATGTATTGGATCTTCGTAATAGCAAAGTTCAGATGTTCGAAATGAAAACTACGGATGGCTGGGGTGTGGGGGTGGAGTGTTGGATTTTTTTTCTTTCTACACCCACACCTACACCCCTTAAAAAATTGAACAGATATTTTGTATCAAGACTATTACTCCATAGATTATTTCATCTATTGCACTTTCTATTCACAATACAGCATTTGATTACTCGATGCACTTATCGAACATGCAGAAATCTTCAGAAAATGACATACAGTAAGAATTAACCTATTGAAATTACAATGTGCTAAAGAATTAAAATATACAATTTACCACAATCTATTAAAATTCTATGTTGGAAATCTTCAAAGTCAAAAAAAAGTTGTCTCTGAAATTACCCATGTGAAATTTAAGCGAATAAGCTAGCTTAAAGTAGCTTAAATTTTAGCTTAATAAGCGCTTGCAAGCGCACATTTTAAGCAACCTAAAAGCGCTTGAAATAAGAACTGCAAGCACTTATAAGTGCTTCACATTAGAACTTTAAGCACTTTTAAGTGCTGGAAAAATGGAAGCTTTAAGCGCTTTAAAGCGCACATTTTAAGCAACTTATAAGCGCTTAGAATTTATATCAAAACGATTGTAGTAACTAGTTTTTCAATCATTGTATTAATATTTCATTAATGTAATGTTTCTTTCTTTCTCAGAAAATTCTCAGACACCTATTGTTAGTAAAAGAAAAACAATTATAATAAAAGAAAAGAAGTTAAACAATAGTAGTGCAAAATAAACAATTTGTTTCATTCTTATTAAACATTTCAATGCAAAAAAAGACTCTTCTCGTTTGCATTGAAACGTTTAAAAAGAACGAAACAAATTG